ATAAGTTGAGGTTAGTCACGATTAAGGGGAGTCGCGTAATTAAGATGAGGTTAGTCACTAACGAGGTCACTTCGCACCTCGGCCCGGAGCAATGTCGTTCGAGACTAACGTCGCACACCCCGAAGCTGCAATACCCACGTGACTAGAGCAAGGTGTTCGTTGCGGTAGCATAAATCGCTAAAAGCAAAATTAGTAACATCTGCAGTTATTCGCACCTTATGTGCGTTTTTCTCCTCTATTGTGTTCGGCATTAGCGGTCCTACTTCCTGAGCTAATTGGCAAAAGGATGGAAAGACATGGCACAAAGGAAAGAAATTCAATAAAGATCAGTGTCTGTCTTCCCAGTTGATTTTGAGTTCAAGCCCTCTGGGATATCTGGAACACGATCAGATTGCTGATTAATAGTGGTAAATATTCACACACATGTTGTACATGTTAAAATTTCGCATAATTAGATACAGTAAGAAAGGAGTTGCGACCTAAAAGTCGACAGGAGGAGCATCTAGCCGAAGACTTTTGAGCGCTACTGTATGCTGATAAAATCTTTCTTTGCAAAAGGGGCACGCTGAAGGTTTAACTAGCTTTTCTCCAGAAAACCATGTTAACCTGAGGCTTGTTAAAGGCATAGTTCACGCTGAATATGACGGATTCTGAGATTTCACCCTTGGATGAACCTGTAACTACATGGGCAGCCGTCCTATAACTCCACGGACAGCCTTAGAGACGCTCTGGATTCAAAAANAAAGGAGTTGCGACCTAAAAGTCGACAGGAGGAGCATCTAGCCGAAGACTTTTGAGCGCTACTGTATGCTGATAAAATCTTTCTTCGGAAAAGGGGCACGATGAAGGTTTAACTAGCTTTTCTCCCGAAAACCATGTTAACCTGAGGCTTGTTAAAGGCATACTTCACGCTGAATATGACGGATTCTGAGATTTCACCCTTGGATGAACCTGTAACTACATGGGCAGCCGTCCTATAACTCCACGGACAGCCTTAGAGACGCTCTGGATTCAAAAANTCATCCAAGTACCATTTACATGCAAATTTTGCCGTCACATTCTCGTCCAAAGCCTCATTTCACTTCATTTTAAAAGCCTTGTATCTCTCTAAATACACAGACTTCCTCGTCTTTCCGATCTTTTTGCACCACTCAGGACTATTACTTTCATTAGTCGTCTAAAACTAGACACCCCAAAATTATCGTGAATTGTGCCTTTAACTTGAAGCCCATGCTAACAATCACAATAAACTAATTTCATCCATGGAAAACTGCTATCTCTGACTGGAGGTTAATGATGCTTGGCAAAATTCTCTAGTGAATTAAGCATGTCACCTTGACCATATTTATTTGTTTACCAAACTCAGTGTGTCAAACAAACAAACAAATGTAAAAAGAAACCAGCGAAACATCTACATCCAAATAATTGAGGTGAATTTGAGAACAGATTTTTCGAATCAGAGTATCTGGATGGAATGAGATTGAGACGCTGGTATTTGAGACTCGGCCAAAGCTCGCCATGTATTGGAACAAATAACGGTGAAGGACTTAAAAGAATCTAAGATGTTCATAGAGTTGAGAATTTTGTGAGCCATTAGAATTCAAGTCTTTTCTCCTCCATTTGAGAGCTTTCAAGAAGTGAATCTTGTTTCACCTAATAAAGGATAAAGGATAAAGTTTTCGGCGTTAATCAATCCCGTCTGAGGGACGCGCCCCCGCACTCGACTTCCAATCAGAATCG